AGGTCCGCCCGTGCGGGGCGCACGGAACCCCGCCCTACCGAGCTCATGCGGGCACTCTTCATCCGCAAATAAAATTAATAACCCCCTAAAGCCTCGATTTGGGAAGGAAGGAAGGGCAGAGGAGGCACCGCCCTGCCCAGGCCGCCGCCTCAGGCGATGGCGGATCGGCGCTGCCCCCCGCCCGGCCCGCACTGGCCATGGTACGCGCCCCCCGCACACCCCTCACAAGCGCCCCGCCGCCCCCCCCCGCACTCACCATGGTACGCGCCCCTCGCGGCCCCGGCCCCGCGCGCACCAGCACCAGCGCCCCCGGCCGCGCGCCCCTGGTCATGTGACCTTACGGGTCTCCCCCCCTCCAGGCCACGCCCATCCCGCGCCTGGCCACGCCCCGCCGCACGTGACCGCCCCCCCGCTCCGTGCCCGCCCCCGGAGGGCGCCGCCTGGCGGCCGGGAGGCGGCAGCGCTGCGGGGTCCCCTCAGGAAATAGCCGCGGGAATAAATCTTTCCTTTTGGCAGCACTTCGCACTCGTTTTCGGGAAACGCGGTTGGCTGACTGCTGTAAAAGTGCAAGCGGCTCCCAGCGCACAAAGGGTTGGATTTATCCCCTCAGAGCACGATGACTGTCCCACAGAGCTGGCTGCACACCCATCGCTCTTGCTCCCCCCATTGGGATGGCTGCTGCACGCACACACATAAAAAGGCATTTCAGACTGAACAACAATGCTTTTAGTAAGTGAAAGCAGTAAAGATCTTAAGGCAGAGTTTTTATTGATGCTGGTTTAAAACTGCTTCGTGGCTGTCAGGTGAGGCTCTGGGGAAGAGGCGAGGGAGCGGCACCTGAGGACGAGGTCTCCAGCCCTACAGGAACAAATCCTCCTCCGACAGCTTTTCCTTCAGCTCGCTGCCTCGCAGGCTCTCCAGGAACACAGGCAGCTTCCCCTCAGAGAAGCTATCATTGTCACCAAGCCCCGACCCAGAGGCTGGCTCTGCTTCCACCACGGTGTTGGACCCAGAGCCAGAATCCTCATCTGAGAGAGGGAATATATCGCCCAAATCCTGGTATCTCTTCATCCTGAAACACAGAGTGGCAATTTTCTCTCTTAGATGAACACATCAAAGCCTCACGTTACCGTCAGCGAGCCATGCTATGACAGGACTGTCAAGGCAGGAATAATACATTTTGGGGTGCTAGCATTAATGACAATCATGTGGCAAATGAACTTACAAGGACGGGTCTGCCATGGGAGGAAGGATCCTGTTGGCCCCACCAGAGGGCATGTAAAACCAGGGCCCCTTCTCTTCCACGCAGTTAGCAGACCAGGCTTCAGGCCGGCACCTCACCCTCTTGTACCTCGCCCTCTGCATCGGAGCACCTGATGGAATCAGCCACACATTGTCCATGAGGACCAGGACATTATTCACCAGGTCCTACAAACTTTATGAGCACCTGGTAAGGCTTAAAGGAGTGGATGAAAGTAATTTGTGTGGCCCTGATTGCTCAACCTCCGGAAAAGTAAAGTAACCCCGAAGGCTTTTTTTTAAGATGGTTACTGATATCCTAAGTGACATTTTTGTCATCAGAGACATCAGGCACGTCTGGAACGGCACCAGGAAGTCCATGGAAAATCCCAGGGAATCCCCTCACACACAGCACCGGGAAGTCCATGGGAAAGCACTGCTGTCACAGCAAGGCTCATCCCCAGCTCACAGCATGGCGCAACCACAGGGGACCTGGGGGCTCAGCCTCGTACAGCTCTCCTTGAAGGTGGAGGTATGTGAAAATAATATGAAAACCTCTGGGGACAAGGCACCCAGCAGAGAGCTGGCTCCTGTGCTCTCCTTCCTCTGTTGGCTCCAGCTCTGCCCCTTCAAGTTCAACAGGCTGAATTTTGGTGGGGACGTGAGAAACTCAGGGTGTGCCACAGGAGCAGGTTTGGGGTTTATGGAGGCTCTGGGAGCACTTGCCAGAGGAGAGACAGTTCAGGTGTCTCCTAGACACAACAAGGTTTTGTAAACCCGGGTTTTCAGTTCTGGTGCTCCCCAGGTGCCTGACTGGGTGTGTCACTGAAAATGAGGGTCTTCAAAAAACACCAAAATAACAAAATAAGGATCACATCATAAAGATAGGAGCAGTGACATTTCATCCTTCCTCTTGGTCTCATGTAATTAATTTGTTCAGAAACCTCCTGGTGCATTCTCAACCTGTTGGCATTTTATCTATTTTTTTCTCCGTTTCCTGGGAATATCTTTCTGTAATTACATTTCTCTATTGCCCTATATATTTCCATAATGTACTGGATGACTTTCAGCTACCTCCTACACTCTTCTGTAAAAGAAAAAAGATCTCACAGGTTTAATTTCTTGCTGCCTCTACAGTATATTCCTTTTTCATACTTATTTTCTTGTCCTTACCTATTATTAAGAAGGTTTTTAATAATAACAGTGGCAACAAAACAAACAGCTGCAGCTGAAAAATTTGTAAAGCAACATAGAACAAGCGGGCCATAACCCCTCAAAGATCAGCCTCTGAGTGGTAATGCATATTGAGAGCCTATAACTATCACAGCTTTGATTTATGGACAAATTATACTCTACATGCTTGAAGAGCAGTTTTTCTCTCATGAGAAAAAAATCCATGGGGCACGGCATCATGAATCAATATTTCCCTTTTGTCATTTTAGTGGTGTATGTTGCAATGTTTTACGGAATAAACCGTTTAGTTTCCTCATACTTACAACTAGTTTCCTTTCCTGCTCCCCCCAGAAAGCAGACCGTAGGAGTTATGACATGAGAACTCTTACACACTATGTCTGTAACTCATAACTGAATAACAGCAGTAACCAGACCACTATGGAAGGGACACTTAGAAAAATATATATTGAGATATACAGACTGAAAACATACGCACATGCAACAACATATTTTATGAAGTCTTTTCTCAAAAATTGAAATGCTCCAATTGTAAAAACCACATTTTCTTGCCATTCCCCCCCCCCCCCCCCCACACACACACACAGAGAAGGAAACATTAGCAAAACAGACTTTCTGAGTAGATCTTATTACCCCCAAAAGAAGGCCAGTTTGTAAAATTCAGAGGTTGCTTACTTGGCCTCCACTGCATAGCCCAGAAAGAGGATTACCGAGAACAACCGCCCCATTTTACCTTGTGCTGTGTATCCCACAAAGAGGATTAAACAAATAGCCAGGAAAATCCTCCTGTTACATCTGATAAGGAGCTGCATCTTGGCTGGCATCCCTCTGCTCGCAACCAGCCTTCACCACAGCGTCACACTTCAGAAATAAGACGGGGCGAGGAGATCAACTTTTAGAAAAGTTTCCAAAACCTCAAACCCAACCCATAACCTGCGTCACCAGTTCCTGATTGACGGGAGTGAGACATGAACAGAAAAGCCCAGCACTGTGGCCTTCCTGCCTTCATCAGTCCAAACTAAAAGCTCCTCTGCCTTCATCTCCTGTTTTGCCCAAGCAGGAAAGCAAACCCAATACCCATGATGTGGACTGAAGGTGGTGCTGCCAGCAGCCTGTGGTCAAGGCACACATCCCACCCAGCCTCTGCCTAATGCTGAGAGGGCTCCAGAGTAAAAAAGCAGTGCTTAATGTTCCCCTATTTTAGGTCCAAAAACTGCATTTTTGCATTGGCACTGGCACTGCTTTTCCCTGCCTCAAGCCCTCACCAGTCGGGTTAGAAGCCAGCTACTCACAGTCAGTACATGTTTCACCAACTGGGGAATCATCTTTTTCCACGGAAGTAAATTATCTCTGGAATCTCATGCCAGGCTTGAGGTTTTTGGGGTTTTTTGGGGTTTGTTTTTTTTTGGTTTTTTTTTTTTTTGAAAGCAGAATCATAGATATTCGCGGTGGGAGTGAAAAAAATGTATTAAGTTAGATAATATATCCTGGTAGAAACATATCAACTCCTTCTGAAAGAGCATAGGCAATTTGCTTGGCCAGATTATCATTGTGTGGTGCAAATGCCCCAGGGAATGTGGAAAAGGGTTTAGATCACATGTGGCTCCACAAGGTACACATCTGAAAAGCCATGAAAACTCTTATATAGACAGAAAATGGCTCATACGTTTTGCTTGCCTTTTGGCTGTGATTAAACAGGCTTGAATTCACTGCGGAAGAAATGACAAACAAGGAGGTTATCGAAGCAGTGGAGGTTTTTCTCAGTCGTACAGAATGCTGCTGGGTTAACTGGCGTACATGTGGGCCTGACGTGCTGCAGAACCTTGTCGCTCCTGGGGCTGATAGTGCAAGTTGTCTGTGGTAAATCTATTTTTATGTGGTGGAAAGTCCGCAGAGGCCCCCAGTGGGGATCTGGGCTGAGCAGTGACTTTCCCCAGGGTATGGTGTTCCACCAAAACCCCATGAAGCAGCAGAAGAGACTCCAGCAACTCCCTCCCCTCTCCAGGCTGGGATTTACCGCTGGACTGAGGAATTGAGTTGCGTGTTCAGTTTTATGACCCTCTGCACATGGGGTTTTTTCTCTGGCATGGGAGAAACAGGAGACTCAAAAAAGCAGGTGCAGAAGGGCTCATGTGCAGTGGGTCTTATTACCACCCATATTTCTACTTTGTCTTTTTAACATCAGCTCTCTTTTCGTTTCTTTTTGTTTAAGGCAGTGCTCAGCATCAATAGGAAGCTGAGCAAACACGGGAGGGAGATGATCAGCCTCCCCTTGCTGGAGGCTGCAGAAACCATCCCTGCAATAGCACCTCTCACTTTCCGCTGATCACGGGTACATGCTGACCTGTTCCACACCCTCCTCTGTGCACAAACAACCCCCGTGTGAGAAAGAAAAACTCCACTGGCTAATTTTGCCCTTCCCACCAGCCCAGGGCATTTGCCCCCATGGCATTGGATGCCCCATGGGATGAAGCCAGAGCAATGCCCACCAGTGGGCACTGTCACGGGCAACTGGGGATCCCACGGCAGCTGGGGGAGCTGCACATTCCCTGTGTCTGGAGGGAGATCTTGAGTTACCTGTCTTGTACCATCAGCTGATGGGAGAACGTGTAGCACTGGCAGTTTTGCCACACAGTTTTGTTATTTTTTTCTGTCTGCAGCACACTTCAGGAAATGAGATCACTTTACAATTGGTAGCTGTGGGAAGCCCAAAGCAAATGTTTCACCCCTGTCTCATGTACATCTGTGTAACAGGGCCCTGAAGCCTGCAGGGGGGTCAGCCTGTGCCCATCTCCTGCCCTGCTGTGCTCTGCCAGTGCCCACATGCCGCTGCACTTGGCAAGTGAGGAGTTTTCCACCTTCCTAAAAACATGGAAGTGATTGGAGACCTGGATCTGAAACAGTCTGGGATGTGTAGGAGTTAAAAGTAAAGCATGCCCTTTGTGGAGTGCCATGGGATGCCCAAGGAATACCATCTGTAAACCACTGAATACATACAATGAAAATAATCAGCTCTAATTTTAAAAAATCTAATCTTGGGCTAGAGGCCACAAACTGCTGAAAGTTAACAAACTTTCTTTTTTTAAACAGAGAACACATGAGCTAAACTATATTGGAACACTGACCTTCAAACGTGCCATGGCATGACTATCAGAGCTCAAGAGAAACAGGATTTTAAGTTAAATATTTTAAATCTGCAGAGGAGAGCACAGTCACCATGCCAAGGTCAGCTACCTCAAATTTGCCTTCCAAAAACTGTGAGAAAGATTCACAGGATAATGTTCTTCCTGCATAGATCCTGTGTATGCAAACTGATAGATTAAATATCCCAACAGAACAGGCCTGCAAAAAGAAGCAAATAAATGAGGACCAGGTATTTGAGAGCACAGTTTGCTCCTGGAGTCTTGCTTACAGCTCCTGCACTGAAGCGCTGCCATTATTTTCAAATCACATGCAAAGCACATTTCTTGACCTGCAAAGCTCTTGCTTTGCATTTTTGTAAAGCATTAATTTGGGGAGTGGGGAGCTGGTGGAGGGAGGAGGCTGCCTTAACACTGCACCCAGACCCCTGAGCAGACACCCAGGACTTCCAATTATGCCTGAAAAACCTGGGAGCAGTCTTATGTTAAACACTTCAAAATCTAAAGTGAGGAACTGCTCCTTAGGAGTACCTTTCAGGGCTGTTGTATCTCCCAGCTGGCTCAGGAGTAATCACTCATTTAGTAACATCACTAAACATGGACCACACTGCAGCAGTGCCTGGCACAAGGACATCTACTCTGCTGAGGAAGGCAGAAATGGGGCAAAAGGAAACCCCAGCAGGAACCCAGAGGGGCATCAAGGGGGTGTTTCAGCCAAATCGTTGGACATCAACTCCTTCTCTGCTCGAGCCCAGGTAAATGCTGAGGGAGCAGATTGGTCCAGAGGAGTAATCTGACATAGCAGTGTCAGGCCACTCCTTCTGCTACTTTTTCTCAGCAGGCAGTACAGGTTTACTTTGCTGCCTGTGGTCCTGACAGGCAGCCAGATGGACAGATGGACTCCCATGGGTGCAGGGGCACCCCCAGTCCTGGTGCTTATCAGAGAGGCTCGAAGGCAAGGCACTATCTGTCCAGGCAGAGTCCTGATAAAGAAGTTTCTCATTGACAACTGCTCAGAAATCAGATAAACCCTAACTGCTGTGGGGGTCGCTCTGCTCTCAGGGTCGGGTTTTCCCCTGCCTTAGCTGATAGGAGCTCGGCCCTGGCTTCCATGGGAATCCAAGCTGAGCCCTGCAGCCCTCAAACACTCATCCCCATGGAGCAGCAAAGCCAGCAGACAGCTGGAGCAACTGGGGGGATCCTGAAGCGCTGTACCCTGCCTGGGATGCTCAGCTCTTTATTTGCTTTGCTGAGAAAGTAGAAATAGATATTTTTTACAGATCACTGCTCTGGGGAGCAGCCAGTACAGAAAAGGCTACATCTGTTACAAGCAGAGCTGGAAACAAGAGTGAAGAGAGAATGATGGCAACAGGAAAAAAATAGGGGATAGAGCACAAGGGAGAGTGTCTGAATGGCAGCTGGGTTGAACACAAGGAGCATTTGTCTTGACCACCTTGCCTTTTAGGAAAGCAGAACAGTTTTCTTCTCTGACACTCACTGCTCAAGTGGGATGAGATTCATGAGACTTGGATATCCAATGGGCCCTGAGCACATTGATCCATCTCAGGGATACCCATGAACTTCACTGTTAAATGCCTAAAATCACCCTTGATAACCTTCAAAAGTGAGCTGCCCTCCAAGCAAGCAGTCTTTTTGCCACCAGCTCATGTTCAACCAACCTTTGCTATTTTGCTCTTCAAAATAGCAAAGAGCTGGCAACCCAGAGAGAGAGGTTTGGGTCCAGCTGTGGGGATTTCTAAATCCAGCCCTGAGTAAAACTTAATTCTTAACCTGGGTCACATCTGAGCTCAGCACCTGAGCCATGTTCAGCCCTGCTCCCAGAGCATCACAGCCCAGGCAGCCTAAGGCAGCCCAAGGCACCCCTCGTCTCTCGTGCCACCACCTCTCTCCTCTGAGGGCAGCATCAAGGCCTGGTCCCTGCAGATAAGATTTGGATCTTGTAAGAAAGCACTGAAGAAATTTATCGTGTAGAAATCAGGCACTCACTGCCATCTAGATCTCACAAAGGAACAACTCCTTCTTTCTTCCCATGGTGAAGTCAACAAGTGCAGGGGGAGATCTTTGCTGGAAAGCCACAGCTGCAAAAAATTGACCACAGCTGCTGACAGACAGGAAGCTGCCAACGACCTTTCCCCATCAGCAATCTTCCCTCTCTCCCAGAAACTTAACCAAGCAACAGGCCTGTCCTTCAGGTGGAAAAAGCAGCTTTCCTTGCTGCTGAGACTGTTGATGCTTTCTGCTTCTACCTGCTGAAGCACAGAGTAGCAGAAGGCTTTGGCTGGCAATTTCAGGACTAAAAGTTTAAAAGCAACAGCTTGTTAAGATATGACACGGCAGCCAAGCTCTGGTTACTGATTAGGGAGGCAATTTCAGCAGCTGACTGTCCTTTAAAACTCCATCCAAAGCAGCAGCAGCCCTGCAGTGCAAGCAGGACCTGCACAGCAGAGCAAGGGGTCACAGGATTTGTTGGGAAAAATGCCCCTAAACCCAGAAGGAATTAACAAGGCAGAGAAGGATGGTGGTACAAAGACATTTTCAAAGCAAAGCATGGTGCCCTTTTCTTGCACTGCTTCTCAGGAACTGTGAACCAGTTGGTGTTGCTGTGTGTTACTGGTTCAAGGCCAGCTACCCAGGAATTAGGCACAGCTATTTTTCCATCAGATGGTTTCTCCAGCACAGGACAGCCTCACACAAGTGAGCTTCTCTGCAGTTTTTAGATGCTTTTTGTTAGCCCTGGGCTCTTGCCCATAGATCCACCCCAAGCAGCTCACCTTGCCTCCCCTGCCTGCACAACTACAAACTTATTTCTATCTACAAGCACCATTGGTGACACAGACAAACTTCACGCCATGTGTGGGGAGAGAGGACATCAGTAAATTTGGCAAAGTGAAGAGGAACTGGAAGCAGTGATTCTCCTGTGGAGGTGTCTCCATGAACCAGACCTGCTGCTCCCATCCTGTGTGCAAAGTGGAGCAGAGCTGGTGTTTGGGCTCCAGTTAACCAGCCTGGAGTCATAGCCTTGTGATCTTCACTGAATTGTTGGGGAAAGCCATGAATTTATGTTTACATTAAAAGAGAACAGTATTTTTTCCCCTATCAACCAAAGCAGCTAGGCATTTCTCAGCTAGCTTTAAGCACATTTGATTTAGTAGAAGCATCCTTTTGTTTCGAAATGTGACAGAAGAAAAAAATGAGGAAAAGCAGGAAAATCAGCTCTGCCTCAGGAGCCTCTCCCCGGTAGGACTGGCACTCACCAGGCCTCCAGGCTCTTCTTGAAGGATCTGCTGGGTGCTCTCTGGGTGGATGCTGCTGCAGTACGAAGCAACAGGCTCCAGACTGCTGCTCCTCAGGTTCAGAAACTGCAGTGCTGACAAAGCTGCTCTGCCCCCTTTCAAGAAGAGCACATTCCTTTTGAAAACATAATTTGCATTAACCAGGAAAAAAAAAAATCTGTCTTTTCTTACTTCAAGGACTCAGGGGTTAAAGTCCTTACTTCAAATGTTGCATGAGGTGAATGTTGCCCCAGGCTTCAGCTTTCCCTGCTGAAAGGCAGGGAAAGCTGAAGCCTGGGGCAACATTCACCTCATGCAACATTTCCAGTAAAGGGTGCAGCAGGGAGGTCAGGACAGGCTGGCCAGGGAGGTGAGAGTCTCAAGACCCTTGCACTTGCAATACCTTGTGCCTTTGTAGAGAGAAGCAAAATGTCTTTCCATGAGCCCTAGCTAACTTGGCAGCTCAGTACCATAAGAAAATATTAAGGCAAAGCACATGGAGACATTAAAAAGTGTTTGATACCTATTTGCCAAAAGTTCCAGATTTGGACAGGCAAGATGGATAGCAGTGTCTGATACTTATCAGGTGTCATGCACAAGCTATTGCAAATATTTGATTAAAAAATAAACTTTGCTACCCAGGGATTATGTTGGTTTTTTTGTCCCCTCCTTGTCTGCAGACCACATGCTGGCACAATGCAGTATCTCAATTTCTGTCTCCTTGTCTGCACTAGAAATAATTTCTTGTGATTCATCTATTTTAAAACTCCTGGAATTCAGGTAGAAGGAGGCTCTGGGCCCACCTGACTACATTTTCTCATGGGCTGCTGTGAAAATCCTCTGGTGTTAGCTGGACCCACTGGCAATCCAGAGATGGCCTCAGAGTGGTTTGAGACCCTGCCTGGGAACTTTTTGGTCTTGCTCCATTCCAAGACACTTAAGTCTGCAGAAAATCATCTTGTTCATTCTTTTTTTTTTTTTTTTTGTTTGCCCCATGCATTTCCCCACAGATCTCAGAATAACTCTGATACAAGCACTTTGTACTCCTCTTACAGTATTCAGAGACTAACACCAGCTCACTCATCACATGCCTATCTTAGTCTTTCAGTGATCACTCATCCAAGTCCTCTTTGTTTCTGCAGAAAATTGCATAAAAATCTTAGATAGAGAAATCCTTGTATCCTGGTCCAATGCCAACTAGTAAATCTCTTTCACAGCAACAATGAGCATGTAAAAAGACTTTGCTGTAATTTTTGCACACCAGATGCCAAAAACTCAAGCACTAGATATTTAAAACATTGCTATAAACACCCAAATTATTAAAACCTTTGGTGTTAAGGGACCGCTTTATCAGTTACTTCTCCCCAAACAAACAGTCAGTATCACAGACATTTTCTCTTCTGAATGAAGCAACATGTTTTCCAAAGGTGTTGTGTTTCATATCCCAACAGTCTGCCCGGCTCTTCAGCTGCAAAGGCACAGCCAAACAATGGTTTTGGAAAAGAGGCAGCCAGGCAAATAGTTCTCTTCAGGAAACCACTGTTTTTGCACCTACCCATGACAAGGAGGAGTTAGAAGCCGCCAAACTGCAAAATAAAACAGCACTAGGAGGCACTTTGGACAGAGTTTCTGGGAAGTATGTAAAAGCACTTTGCAAACCAAAAATTAATCATTTGTAGCAAGCTCTAAAATAGCCATAGATGTTGCAATAGAAGAGGAAAGAAAGTTGACAAATGCTTCTCACCACAACTTTATGCACTTGGCTTTATTGTAACAGTCTTTAGTTCTGTAATTTCAAGACTGCAGAAGGGTTTGCCTCGTGAGGTGCCGGACTAGCTACCATTCTCCTTTGCAGGACCACATCTGGGCATCTTATCATGAACAGTTCCACAGAAAACATCCAGCAAACACCAACTACCTCAGTCTTTTTATAGAAACACACAAGTAAAGCTCATCTTTGCTCCCTCTGCGCTGACCGAAAAGGAAACCCCAAACAAAAGTGAGATGGGTAAAGCCACAAGATCACTGGTGTTTGTCATTGTCTGATGTCAAGGCTAACCAGGCTCCCACATTATTTCTGGAGGTGGAAGCACCATTACACTGACACATCTCCATGTGCTCGCAGAGCAGGCAACCATCCACACCGAGCCTGTGCTGGGCCAGGAGCTTTCAGGAGCACAAATGAAGGCCGGGCAGCTTTGGCCACACGGAGGCAGTGAGCAGCACTGCCCTTGCAACACAGGGGAGCTGCTTTCCTGCCGCTAAGGGGAACTGAGGGCTGGCAGCATTCTGCCCACTGCTTCAAATGTCTTCAGAGCAACAGAGGTCACAGTAGTCATCTCCTGCTGCTCTCCTCCAGTCCAGGCTTCTCGAGAAAACAGCCACAAAGAGCCTGCCTGACAACCTTGTAGGGAGACAGAACAAGGCACTGGTTTCTTTCTCTCACAGAATACTGAAGCACAGCGCAACCCATCACTCCATTTTACAGCACCTACCATATCTCAAGCCAGCATAAGAATTAAGTGCTTCAATTAAAATAAAACTGGTTTTAATCAAACCAAATAGTTTCTCATGAGTGTTGCATGCCATTTGAAGAAGTACACTGAGGTTATAGCTCTGATCTCACACTTGACAGGAATTCTGCAGAAACTTGGACTTCTTGTAAATCTCTCTGCTTTATGCTGGCTAAGGAGAAAAAAAACAGTAGAACAACAAAAAGGAGGTTTCAGTTGTGAGACTTTTTTTTCTGTACAGAAAGGAATAGAAATGCAGGTTAAACAGAGTTCACAGGAACCTAATCTTCAATTAATCTTTGAAATAAATGCCCGGCCTCACACATACTTTACAGTTAAAATGCAACATTCCTGAAGGGAGCTTTGCTGCCTAATCCAACAAGCTCCTCACCTCCTTTTTTTTTAACTAAATACAGAATCTTACATAAGTTCATTCTCTCAAATCATTGAACAAACAGGAATTATTCAAAGGGTCTGCTTAAAAAGATATGCCTTAAAAGAAGCACAGCATAGTACTTTGCAAGCATCTGGCACAATGCAGACTCCAGTAATAAAATATAATTAGCTGGCAGAAGCCTTGAACATTTAGTCTAGGAGGTGAATTGCTTTTTGTAACTCCATATGCATTTATATGAAATATATTTTTTTAAGAAGCTGGAAAGCCAAAGTGTTCTGGGTATCTTCAGAGGAGAGAGCTCTCCAAGCCACAGTGCACACTGATCGTGCTGAAAAAGCTCTGATCATGCTTATATCAGACCTTCTTAACTCTGGACCTACTCCTACCTGCAGCTGAGCTCTTACTGTGATTTCTGTGGATTCAGGGTATTTCTCTGCACACCTGATGATGGTTAAAATGGATACATCAAATTATTAAAAGGGATATATCTGATGATTAAAAAGGATACATCAACCTGCACTTCATTCAGCTTTGCAGTTACCTGCAGGTAACTTTTCACACTTACTTCAGACCTGTATTTGAAGGAGAAAAAAGAAGATTTTTTTATGCTAGGATAGCCCCCATCTATCCTTCTCCAAATTACAAGAAAACTAATGATGATGCTCTACAAAATTTGCTAAAGACAAAAGCATAGAAGGAAAAAAAAACCCAAACAACTACTCCAAACATATATTGCTGCCGTCTACTTGAATATAAAACTAAAAGTTAGTAGAAAAAATTTTAATCTCTTTGTTTGTGGTAAAAGTGCACACTAGCTTTAACTGAAATCAGAAAAAAACAATGTGCAATACAGCCTGCTGAGAAATGTTTCACTGAGAAACTAGGGCTGTCTTACTTTCAGGCCAGAGGAAAATCTGAATTAAAAGATCTGACTGCAGAAATGAAACTCCTAGAGGCTGACTAGACAATTATTTAGTAAAACAAAAAACACACACAGGCACATGCACTCACTCTCTCCCTGATTCTACACGCACACAAGTAGCTGGTCTAGTTTTGAGTTTTGCTGCTGCTCATTTCCAGCACCCATTTGTTGGCCTATTTCTTTGTGGTTTGTAGTCTAGCCTGTAGAATACTCTGCAGAAGAGATTTTTACCACACAGTTCAGATGTACATGCTTTCCCCTCACAGCCTTTAAACACATGTGGCCTTTCCTCCCCTTCAGTCTCCAGAAGAATCCAGCTATTTTGACTATTCTCCTTCAATGCCCTCTTGTGCTGTGAAGATCTTCCCACCCTGTCACCAGGTCAGTGCCACCTGCACAAAGCCACATTGTCCCTTCACCTGCACCAGGTCCCCTGGAGGCTCTGGCCATCATCTCTTGCTATGCAGCTGGACTGTGTGCTCTGCCTGTATTTCATCTCAAACAACTTCAGAGAGGTCCCAGGAGCAGCTCCTGCTAAAACAGCACCTGGGCTCCCTGAACAGCACAAAGAAAGAAGCCATCCATGGCATCAAGCTGTATTAGGCAAATGTCTGGAGCACTAGAGAACAGGACCTGTAACCTGTGATCATGGTGCGTTAAGAGCAGAGTATCTCCTCCCACCACAAAGTTGGCTGCTTTTTTGCTCTGGCTTCTGACACTACAATTGCTCATGTGTTTTTACTGAAGATACTCACATGGAAACACATTCACAACTACTTATTTTGGCCAAAGTTTAAAAGTATTGTATCTTAGTAAGACACAGGATACAGAATTCCAAGGACTCTGAAGAAACATTTAACCACATTTAGTCCATTTATTGAGCCTCTATCAACCAGGTTTTGATTAACAAGGGAAAAGAACAACAAGCAACATACAAAATAAATACTGAAAACAAGTTCCCTTCACATTGATAAAGTTTTCTGGGGACAAACGTTAGAAGAGATAAAATGGATTCTAGCTGGAAGAACGTGCCTCAGGTTTATTAGAAAAAAAATTTCCTAGAGAAGAAGATTCTCTTAAAAGAAACTATTTTCATACAGCACTACACTTAACAACTGAATCATACACCAAAGAAAAAGCTGTGAGGGAGAAAAGGTTTATATTTACATATAGGACACACAGTACAAAGCATTAGCTGGACTTATACTTTACATTTAGAGTTTATACCATTAGTGTGGGTGAGCTACGGAACCAGGAGAGCTCTGAGTTTTTCACAAGGTTACACTAGTGCAGGCTCTAGGTGGATGCTCCTGCAGACACCTGACTTCTATCAATCAGTAGGGAAGCTGTGCCACAGCACTGGCTTGGACAGGTAACTGTTCTGGTAGTGCCCATTGCCTCCAAGGCAAGCATTTATGCAAATGAAGACACCTTTGCTCTTAGCCTCTCCATGCTTGCTGGAAGAAGATTCACCATTTCCTTACTGAGTTCTAGTTCAGTTTCAATGGCAGAGACGGCATCTGGATACTTCTCACAATAGTCTACCAGAAATGTGTAATATTCCAATGATGTCTGCATGTTTTCCAGTTGCTTTTTGCTATCTGAAGTAATAAGCTTACCATATAGTCGTGCAATATGAAATTTAGCCACCATTGCAGGGCGAAGAACATCTTCCTCGAGTTTTTCAGGAAACACCTTATCAGGGTTCCTCAAAGAATCCAAGAAGAGTTCATAATATTTGATTGCAAACTGAGCCAGAGAATTAATTTTTTTAACTGTGTGCGAGTCTAGTTTCTCTAACCTGTTACCAATAGCTACCTTTAAATCCATCATCTCATAATAGGTGTCAGCTAGCTCACACTGAAGCTGCCTGCAGATCAGCAGGTAGTACTGGGGGTTCAGGTCTGCATAGATTGGCTCCAGCATGTCTATTCTACGCTTGTGCATTTTGCAGCGCCTCTCATAGTCTTCTTCAAAGAAAGCAAGTACCTTAAACAAAGCACTGTGATCCTGAACAATTTCAATATGGTCAGTAACATAACCATCGACCTGAAAGAACTCCTTTGCCTCCTGAACATAGTTCTGACCAACCAGGAAGACTTCTCTGGCTTCTTGAAAATCTAAAGGATATACGCTGCTCACTTTCTCCTCCATGGCTAAGACAGAGTCACATATATCACTTGTCCCAAAAAGAACAGCTTTTTTCCTGCCCTTCTCTTTTTCATCCTCTTCTTTTTTCCTTTGGGCTTTAAGTTCCAATTGCCTGTCTGGATCCAGCTCTCCTATGTTATCCTGAAATGAGAAAAGCATGCTAATTAAAAATGAATCTGGCTTATAAAGATACACTGAGTCATTTTGAGTCACCTTTGAAATACAAACTAGTGAGCAACGTGACAAAAGAGAAATCGTTGATATATGAGGCCTTATATTAACAAAAGAATCATGTAAATTACATTATCAATTCTGAAAAGACATAAAATTAAGCTGGTTCAGTTTCCCTACCCTGTGTGACAAAATAGCCAAAGGAATACATGTTAAACCCAAAGGCTCTGCTTCACAAAGCGTTTCAGCAAATGCTGGTTTAAACATCTGAAGGAATACTTAAGTTAACCGAATCAAATCTGAATTAATCAAATGCTTCAACGAATGAGAACATCAGCACAGAAAACTTCTGCATATTAAGACAATGTTCTTACTAGCAGATAAATAAGAAGGAATCTGTCAAATCAAGCTGCAAGAAAATGCAGCAGAGAGGAGGAAAATTTGTGAAGTTGCTGTAAAAGCAGTGCACTGATCACTCTACAGAGTTGATCCCCTATCTGTGTACTTACTCCTAAGTTGTGCATTTAAATCAAAGCATACCATGTTCACTGGGCAATTGCTTATTCCTTGTTACCAACTGCAAATTGACTCATCTTGCAAACATCAAAGCAGGCTCAGTTTGCTGTTAGACAATGACAGCTACAAAACAGATTTTCTGTTACCTCAAGCAATTTTCGAGCGCTTTGCAGAAGATTCAGGCAATACTTAATCCAACATCTTGCAATTTCAGCTTTCCTCTCTGGAAGGTCCTGTTGGTCTGGCTCTGTTTCATCTGCTGAAGGGACATAACTTTAAGAGAACTTTAAGAGAAACTTTAAGAGTAACTTTAAGAGAAATCCAGAACT